GGCCACACCACCAATAAAGCACGATTGATAGAAGGAGTACATTCGCAGCTGCCACGAGAGCAACAAAATGAACATGACAATCAATGCGAGCGTGTAGAAGCACTCGCGTCGAATGCTCACACAAAGGAGTGTGCCCAGGATCCGCTGGATCCTTCTGTGTATCGTTGCACACTCGTTTAGCAGCTCCGTAAAGTGCCGCCGCAGCAGCAGGAAGTACACATACAATGGGACATACAACAGAAACACAAATGGATCGTAGATCCAGAGTTGACTTAGCGAGAGGTAGGCCAGGCTGGCCAGCAGATTCACCAGAGCCATCAGATGGACATAGAGCTGCTCGTCGCACAGGAAGCGACGTTGCTGCTCCGCATAGCCCACATTGTAGTAGCCCAAATAGAGGCCAATCCGTCCGATTGTGTGCCACACGCTCATCAAATGACACAAACAGAAGCCCTGAGCTGCGGAGGCGTGACTTTCCATGTGGCAGAATCAAATGAAACTAAGTATCGGTGGGAAAGCAAACGCAGGACCGATGGGAATGTATCTATGCCATAATGTAGAGCCATTACTTTAAGCGGGAAATGGAAATACTTTCAATTTCACATTGGAATAGATACATTGCGTACCCATGAGGTGATAACTCTACATTTTATGAAGCTACTTACAACAAATGGCATCATTTACACACCATAAAAGAATCGTTTACCACTTTTAGAACGTTTGTTCTCGTCAAAAATAACTCTTTCGATTGTTTTTTGTGTAGTAGTTCAAAGAATATGCCAACAAATACTTAACCTTCCATAAAAGTAAACTTTTGGCAACCGTAAACACATTCAATTGAGTTGCTAATCGTAAAAAGTATTTAATTGAGTTGCTTAAAAAGAGTTTTACTCACTTGAACCATTAAATTCGAAGTGTATCTCTCCCTCTAACCTTTCACCTCTGTCTCTTGCTCCCTGGAGTACTTTTGTGCTCAGTAGAGCAGCGCAGCGAAAATACCTGCAAAAAAAATACAACGACTGACAAATAATATTTTACGCTCTGTTTATTTGTGAACGGGCGGGAGGGAGCAACGAAACGCTTTAATAGTTTACACTCGGATGTGGCTGGTGGATAGGGGTTGCAGGGATAAGGATGTGCAGGATGTGGGTAGTGGATTTTGGCTATGGGGGATATGGTTATGAAATGGAGAGAGCACTTAAAATGGCATAAAGCCATAAGAGGAGGTCACTTCTTTCACCTCTTTCAGCGCCCCCATAGTTACAACCGAAACGACAACCCAACCATTCTGCCGGCATTCTTCTCCATTCTTTCGCTTTGTTGTAAAGATACGTCGTAGTCCCCATATCTTTTTTCATCGCTCGGCAAATGGTTTTACACGCATGTAACTTTCCTACGGGATGCGCTGCTGCTCTCCTTCTCCCTTGATTGTCTGCATATATGAATGCCCCATTTCCACTTGCCACTAGCCATTTGCAACATGGTGGCATGGGGCATGTGTGGTGTGTGTGTCGTGGTTCCGCATATAACAATCACAAAAAACTGCATGTTTTTATTACAAATTGCAATTGTGGAAAATTTTATACATGGCCGCATTGTCCCTCGTCCCTTTTGCAGCGGCATCATGTCACCAGAGCCAGGACCCTGGACCCAGAAGCTTCCTACCTTTTGCTGTTACTGCTGCTGCACCTGCAACAAAAAGTTGCAAAGGGCTGGAGCAAAAGAGCAAAAAAGAGTTTTTTTTTTTGAGGAGACGGCAGGAGGCCCTCTTCCTGTGTGATAGTGTCGCCCCGAAAAATAAACTGCCACATAAAATTCCAGCCGCATATCCCCTGTCGGTGTCGGTGTCTGTGCCTTTGTCTGTCGGTGCCCTTGCCACTTGCCACTTGGTCCACTTGGTCCTGCATGGGGCGGGACATGGCATTGCACTTTTTTTATGTTCCACACTCGCGTGTCGTGTGGCATGCATAAAGCAAATGAATTTATTTTTCTCGACTGCCAGTTTTTCAATTTAAATGCTTTTTGGCCCTTTGGCTAGTTTCGGCGGCCCTTTTCATTCCTTTTGCTTTTTTACTTCCACTTTTTATTAGTTCCTTTTTGTTAGTTTTACTCTTCTTTTTATTGGTTTGTTCGGGATTTTCTGATATTTTTCTTTCAATATTTTTTAGGTATTTTTTTTTCGCTGTCCTTTTTTTCCTCGAGTTACTTTTATTTTTATTAGAGAATTTTGTTTGCTATTTTTATTGTAATTCGCTTTATCCAAACACTTTTTTCTGCAGTTCTCTCCGATTTTCAGTGTGCCATAAATTTTTGCATATTTTCATTAGTTGTCAGCGCGGCTGCTTTTGATGATTTATGCATGTTTTTGATGCGCTCACTCACTCTCTGCCGCTTTCTGCCACTCTTTGCTCTGCCTTTATGAATGCTCTTTCTGCATAAAAAGCGGAGAAATGGGCGGATAAATGGGAGCGTCCACTGCCCACTGGCTATAACACAAAAAAAAAAACAGACAAACAAACAAACTTATTAAAAATTTAGTTAGGTAAGGAAAAGTTTTTAAGCTAATGAAAATTGCTGTTGCACTGTTGCGAGTTGCCAGTTTCCAGTTGCCAGGGTGTAATGTTAAATGTGGCAGCCAGCTGTGGCACTGGAATATGGAAATTTAAGGAGAGCAAGTGGAGTGTACAGGGAGAACTAAACTGGTAGACTGATTGTTCTATTTGGGAACTAATATTATTTAAACTAAATCATTTGTGAGAGAAGCCTAGAGGTGATATATTTACATTTTGAAATTTATTGAAAATAACATTTCTCAAGCCAACTCTTGGGTTTTATTTAATGGGTTTTCTCTAAAAAGCTTTGAAAATAATGAAATGTTTTGCTACGATTTTTCTTGATATTACGTACGTTTTTATGGATTCTCTTTAATTTTCCGTTGGTTGTTTTTATGGATTTTCTTGAATTATGGGTTTAAAGATTTTCTTTGAATGTTTAGGCACAAAATAAAGGCAACTCCTTGTAGAATTTTCTCCATTAAATGGAAGTTAATCTGCACGTATTTCATCGTCTGTAGTGAGGCTTCCGTTCCATATACATAATGAGGGTCTCTCATACCTGCCGTTCGCTCTCCTCTCTCCCCCTCTCCGCTTTAAGTCGCGCATAATAAAGCGGTTGACAGATATCTGCGCTTTGCTCTGTTTAGGTGTGAAGTGGCATCTTCCCCTCGCACTTTCCCTCTCCACTTATCTCTCTCTTCTCGTCAGCAGCCCATCTGCCTAACGGTGATTGTGATGTTTTCGTGCCAATCCCACGCGGGCATACTCCAGCGAGTGACGTCTCTAATGATTGTTTGACAAACATGCCCATCCGTAGAGCTCTTCACTCTGGGCTTCTCTCCGCCTGCCTGTCTGTTTGTACGCCTTTCAGCCTGTCAGCCAGCCATCCATCCGGATTCCGGAGAGCGATGTCCATAGAAGAGGCCATGGAGCTCTGGCTTTGCCTCGCTCTTTATTGAATACCAACACCAACAGTGGGGCAGCGTCCCTCTTTGAGGCATTCTTTGGGCGGCATCAGCCGTGCCTCAGACGACATGTACAGGATTTTAAAAATGCCACAGAAAAGCGGCACCATCAAGCGACGAGCAGCAGCAGCAGAAGCAGCAGCGACAAGAATTCAAAATTGAAATGACAAAGTAAACAGCGAGAGGTGAAAGTTGAAAGCTTGAGATATGCCAAGGAATGGATGGGATGAGAAGGGAAAGCAATGAAGGGAGGAGCTAAATGGAAGAGGCTAAGCAGCGAAGGAAGGGGCAGCAGCAGCAGCATCAGCAGCAGAACCCAATCCTCCTCCGCTTGAGTTTGACATTTTTGGGTTATGCTGCGATGAACATGGCCCGATATGCCACCTCATGCCTCAGCGTGTCCTTCTGTGCATGCAAATCTCTTACCCAGGAGCAGCAGCCCAGTGGCAACTGTGGCACGGGGCAAGCTTGTGACAAGTGCGGCACGTGGGAAAGAGTAAGCAGCGATTGAGACTTGAACAAATTAATCGCCGGGACTCTGGTTTTGACCGAGCTTACACTTTTTTTCACCCGCTCTTCCACTCTCTCTCTCTTCCTCTCTCAGTCTTTCCTCTTTTGAAGGTGTCCTCTCTCTGCCCTTTGGCCCCGTATCCTTACCTGATTCCCAGTTTGCAAATAAATTAGTTTGCTACGTGAACGACGCAAATCTGAGGTGGGTTTGACAGCTACGTCTCCTTTGGTCTTTGCTTTTTCTCTGTCGCTTGTGAAGTATTTAAATACCCTTTCATTTTGGGGCATGCTCTAGGGGCTGTACTTGTGCAAAGAAAAGAGCTTCCTTTGGCAATGAAATAGTCTAAGATTACACCTTGTGGGTTGATAAATAGTTCAATTTATAATGAAGTGTGTGCAAAAGGTCCCAATGGTATAGAGAGAGTTTATCTTTCATACTCTCTTACTTTCACTTTTCTTCTGCAATTTATTATTCTCCCAGAACCATTAGCAGATGCTTGAATATCCCCCAAGTAGGATTCTTTCTCTCACTCCCAGAGTGTCTGAGCAATTAAGGGTGAATTTTTGCAAAAGAAATCTCTCGCAGGGTATTCTTATTGTCCTTACCATTCGCCATATTTTTATTTTCCTTCCTTTAAATATTAAAGCGAGTGAAAACTTATCGATTCGATGGCATTCGGAAGGGACAGCAGCCGCTAATTGAAGTGGATTTCTGTGTGTGCTTGTGTGTGGCAGAGCCATCAATTATCCGTGCCTTTTCCACATTTTCAACCAGCAGCAGCAGCAGCAGCTAAAAGCATTTACACAGCAGAGACAGGCAGAGGCAGAGGCAGCGGCTCCCTAGTTGTAGTCGCCAGTCATCACATTAGCGGCTAAGTACTCACCAAATTGTTACCACTTTTTCCTCGTTCCTGTTTCTCCTGCTCCGCCTTGCCTAATGCTGCTTCTTCGTTCAGTCGTTGCTTGCAACATGCCACAACAGCCGCTGCACAAGCTGCTCTGCGTGTGCCACATTGTCAGCTACTTCAATGGCCAAAAGTGGATCTGCCAGCTGCTGTGCCTCTACAATCTGCGCTACGATGAGGCCACACAGCGCTTTGCCCTTGGACAGCAGCTTCTCGTTTATTGTGGCTACATCTGTAGCCTGTGGAGCGCCATTATCCTGCTCGGATATATAGATGCTGACTTTTGGATAATGGACAGATACAAGATCTATGTGTATGCCTTGCCCGGCATCTATTATGCGCTGCTGAGGAGATCATTGCTGCAAATACTCAATGATATGTTGCACGTCCATCGAGGGCTGCAGCGCACCATGGGCCTGCTCTTTTGTGTGGCCGTAAAGAGAGCTTTCTGCTGGTCCTGTCTAATAACCGTGGAGCTGCTGGCCATCTTTTATTGGCAACTGTCATCGGAGGAGTACCCCCAGTACGTTTTCCTGCTTATTTTCCTGCTCTGCTGGTATTTGCAGATACTTTTGCATGTTAATTGCTACATTTGGCTGCAGTCCATCTATGTGGTGATGCTTCAGGCATTTGTGGCGCCACTAGACTACACAGAAAAGTGGATTATGATGATCAAATTGCTCCGACATCAGCGTCGTTTAAGACGGATACAACGGGATGTGGCCTATTGTTTTAGTGTGCATATTCTCTCGGTTTTGGTCCTCATTTCGGGCACTTTCGTTGTGAATTTTACGCTGTTTGAGCCTGTCTTTGAGGAGCATCGGGAAAGGGTTGTGCTCCTGGCCTTTGAGGTTAAGCAGCTGAGTTTTGTAGCAAATGTTTGCCTACTGATCTGCAGCCTCTTTCTTGTAATAAATGATTTCAAAATCGAAAGAAATCGTTTCTTCGAGAGCCTATGGAATACATCGCAGCCGTGCCACAAGAGAATCTTGGACTGCAGGAAATCCCATAGGTATCAAAGTCGCTACGAACAGACGCTGGATGTAATAGACCTGCTGGTAAGGGAGTGCAAAATACATCTGGGAAGTACACCGATTAATTTCTTTGCTGTCTTTAGCTGCTATCTGGAAATCGACCAAGTGACATGCGCCCCACGAAAGTTATTCTATGGGAAATACAAATGGAAACGAAAGTTAAATTCAATTCAGAGATGAAATCTTTCATCAATTATTTGCTAATGCTTTTGCTTCTTGGATTTCTGCTACCCCTTGTGGCCATTTCGAATGGTTTCCACTGGAATTGGGAAATGTATGCCCTGGAAAATGGTACCACAGCCGCGTATGTTCTCAGTTGGCAGGAAAGAATGGAAATATCGTGAAATAAATTCAAATAGAACCCACAGAGTAGAGAAATAATTATGCAAGGCACGTTCGGGTGAAAAAAAGGATTCAACCAATAAATCAAAAAAGGATAAAAGGATGTGGAACCACAAGTGTGGGCGTGTAACGTGGGGGCATGCCACCCCACCCGTGCGATTTATATACAAAATGTCAAACTGAAAATCTATTAAATCCCATCGATATGCCACTTCTGGTTCTCTCTTTCTAGTGCTTTCCCCCGTTAATTAGCTTCCCAGTTGAGATTTGTGCAACGTGGCGTATGATTAACACGCGACTAATGAACGTCGCGAATGGGGCTGTGTTGCAAGTGCAGCGCAGACTCCTGACATCCATTCGCCTGTGAATGATTGAATTATTGAATCCACTTGCTGGACTGACGTACTCAACCTGGGCACAAATCAATGGGAATTATTTCCCACTCCCACGGCCCCACACCCCCCGTAATTCTGTCCTAGAACTAGTCTTCGGTTCGTTGCACAATGAAATGTTAGGGCGGTAGGGAGCGGGGTGGAAACTGATTTCCGTGATTTCTAATTTCCTACCATTTGCCATGCAACTCTGGGGGGAACTTGCAACCCGCCAGTTGAGTGGGAAAATATTTCTCTCCGATTAACTGCATTCGAAATTTTTCGGCAGCTGTGCCGGGGGGAAGGCTGGTCTTCCAACATTAATGAGGCACACGCCCCAGTATGGCAGTGGTGCCCCATTAGCAGTGCTCATTGTCAGGGCGTCGACTAACACGCAGGAAAACCAATAGAAAACTGTAGAGAAAAGTGCAGACGTTGGCTTGTGGAAGCGTTTAATACCCTCCATTAAAGGTATATTTTCAGAAGGAATTCTGAAATATAGAAACAAGTTTCACGAGTTACTAAGATTTACTTTAAAGGTCGTCAGAACCTTAGTCTTTTTTTAGTGTATTTTTCTAGATTTATTCCTTATCGCAGTTACCCTTTTTGGTAAGAGTATGATACGAACTTAATTGATATGCATGTGTCCTGTGTGCTTGTGTGTCGGGTGCTGTAAATGCAATTTCCTTGTTGCCACTGGCACTCCTTCTGTTCTGGCAATGGCAATGCCATTCCCTCTAGTGTTGCCACTGCCACTGCGCCTGCCACTCTTCCTCATTGCATTCTCTAATGAGTTTCAAATAATTCCACTGTTAAGCGCACATCTATCCCACAGATCTCCAGTCTCCTACTGCATATATCCATAGACACCCCATATACCCCATATAAAGGCGGCAGCGGCACCACCAACCCCCCGATAATCATTTGATATGCGGCTCAATAAAATAAAAGCCCCAAAAACTAAAGGACAACAGATAATAGAAAATAGAGAGAGCGAGAGGCAGAGAGTGTTAGAAAGAGAGAGAGAGAGAGAGAAAGAGAGCGTAACATGGAGCTTTACGTATTGCAATTTGTGCAAAATGCAAATTTCCTCCACTGATGACAGCCGCAATTTTGTGCCCCATTGTTGTTAGTGCCACACCGAGGGTCGCCTCCACTATGTGTCGTTGCTGTTGTTGTTTCTGTCGTTGTTGCTGTTGTGTTTGCCAATGTCCATTCCCATTGTTAGGGACAGACTCCTCTCGAGTGTAAGCACATGGCCATGTGTGTGTGTGTGTGTGTAGAGGAAGCAGCATGGGCCATGGAGTCTGTGTCTGTTCTCTGGTGCGGTCACGGATCCACTATTGAAGCTTACATTGTTAGAAACTTTACTCCCGTATATTTTGTGGATATTTAAATGGGAACAAAAGAATTAAATTCATATTCTACAAATATTTTAAAATTATTTACTAATTAAATTTTAATATTTTTATTATTAAAAATTATTTAAAAATAGCTACGAATTTTTAGGAATTTTTCGTCCTACTTTCTGCATGAATTTTGCAGGGGAAGAAGAATAAAGTTTTGGCTTACTGTGGAGCCCCCGAACGATTGCTATTGGCATGCCCCAGAGTGTCCCCCATTGACATGTCGGACACTGCCAGTTGCATACCAATAAACACAGCAGGCAGGCAGGCAGGCAGTCAGGCAGGCAGGCAGCATCAGTGGGCCATAGTCCGAGTTTTAGCCCAAAGCCAAAGCCAATGCCAAAAGCCAGATCCGAGCTGAATTCCTGACTAGAAGCAAATGTCTGGCTGGTTGGCCAACCGGCCACTGCACGGCACAACAATGGTTGACCAGCATTACTACGCTCACTCTTTCGCACTCTCTCTCTCTGTCTGCTGTCTCCGTCTCTGTTGTCACTTTTTGATTAACAATGATGGGCATTATTTTTGCAAATAAATTCGAATGTCCAAGCGGGCCAGGAACAGAGAGATGAGTCGAGACCAAGACTTTGCGTTCATGGCTCCAGAAGGAATTTGCGTTTTGTTTGGCCAATCGTTGACATTTTTCCATGTGCTCAAGTTGCACTTTATTGATCTGTGGCATTGGGGCGCTTGTGGGGCATGTGGCATAATTGCACATTTGCAAGGACACATACAGTGCCCGATTCCACCCGTCCCAGATGTAACGATTGCAGCAGCCAGCAGCAGGAAGCTTTTAAGCAAACAGGATGTGTGCCTTGCCTCGCTCTCTCTCTCTCTTTCTCTCTATTGCTGTGCTACGAACAGCTTTTGAACGAGCAAAATGGATGGATGGTCGGACGGATGGAACAATACTTAGAACAAGTCCGAGAACTTGAAGTGAAAACAATGCATTTGTTATGCAAAGCCTTTGATGTTGTCCTTGGGGGTACAAAAAGGGTGTGTGGATGCTGCCTGCCTCATGACTGTAGCCTTCTGCCTGCTTCCTTCCGTCTGCTGATGCTGTGCTTCTAAATGCAGGCGGCAACTACTTGTCAATGCCACAAATGATTATGGGGGGGAGGCTCCGAAAGTGTTTTGCCTTTTTATCGGAAAATGTTCTTAAAGTTTTCCCACCCCTCCGACTTTTCTATTCGTAGTTCGACTTGCAGTTGGAGTTCCTGTCGAAAGTCGAGAGTTTAGAGGCCTCTCCTGCCAAATGGGTCAACAACGATAGAGCCAACTTCTAGAACAAACTTTTTGGCCGGCGAAAGAGAGAGGGAGAGAGAGAGAGAGAGAGGGGGAGAGCGACTGACCGAGCGACAGCTTAAACAACAAAATAATTAAGGCCCTTCAAACTTATTGACGTTTTTTTTATGGGACAGTGGGGAGTAGGAGAATGCGAAAAAAGTTTATAATTTTTTCGAAAAATTCCAGAGATAATAATTAGGAAACAGCCACCGCAACAAAAACAAAAAAAGTACAAAAATAAAAGAAGAACAAAAGCCAGGAAGTGGCCAAAGAGAGTAAACAGCAAACTGAAAAAAGGGACCCTCAATAAATATATAAACCATACAGGGAGGTGGGTTAGACACGGAGGAGAGTCGAAGATAAGGATGCCCTTTAAATAAATATGTTCAGAGAAATGATAATTATGAAAATTCATGAGATTTAGGTGTGGGATTTTAATAAATTGTTGCCTCTCCTTAAGCCCTTTTTTGGTACGATTTATCAGTCTTGGAGAACTCTGCACATTATTGAATTATCTTTAGTAAATCCCCTGCTTGCCAGGAAGTGTATGCAATGTCCATGGCTGGGGACTCTGTGCAACTCTCTTTAATGCCCTACAGAAGCCAGCCTGGTCCCAGGTCTGAATTTCTACATAAACGAATGTCGGGCGCACTTAGCAGGCAATTGCAAGATAATTTAATTATGCGGAGAAGGCGATGGCTGCTGGCAGAAAGCAGAAAGCAGAAGGAGATGTTGGGCAGGCCAGGCAGCAGGAAGCACAGGGGACTGAACCCAGTGGAGCAGCAGCACGGAGTACTGCTCTCGGCTCTTGGCCCAAACAGGATAACAGGATAATGATAACGAAATACGTAAACCAAAAAGGCTTACACCACGCCCACAGCTACACGGCCAGCGGGCCATAAAGAGCCAAGCGAAAGCACAGATAAAATGTGTGTGTGAGCTGGTAAATTAAATGAAAAATGGCCAACGATAGGGCTAGGATGCGCTGAACAGAACGCCGTCCTGCGACACAGGGAACCAAAAGTGTGTGTAACGGAGCGATAACAATAATGAGCGCATATCGGTCGGAGTACCGCTGTGGCTTAAACAAATTGCAACCGACTTAATTGCTGTTGTTGTTGCTGTGTCTGCTGCTGCTGCGGCTGAAAGCGGAAGTATGCCACAAACTTGTCGCCCGGATGTGGATAAACATTTATTCTATATAAAATACAATGGCGTGGCAGACGGGGAGGACAGCTACAGGTACAGGACAGGTAGCAGCTTGTAAATATCTGTAGGCCAGAAGTGAAAATGCCATTACACATAGTTCGTACTCGTAATTAGCATGGAAAATACTCGTTTAATTTATGCACGAATTGAAAAGGTCAATTTGTGCGGGGGGCCAACAACTGTAACGCTTTGGGCTTAATTTTTGGCCGGGCTTACCGCGCGCTGCCTCGCTTTACATACATTCATGCATATTTTGTACATTTCACATTGGTTTTACTCGTTCTACATTAAATTTCCACGTATTTTTGGCATTTACTCGATTGTGGCTTGTATGCAAAATGTTTTGTGTGTCAGAAGAGAGAGATAGAGAATGAATGGCTGTCTGCTCTATTCGTATTCGCAGTCGCATGGAAACTGTGAATGTTTTGTAGTTTTGTGGTGTTGAATTATTAAGCTTTTAGTCAAAGGTAAAAGGAATATTCTGCCATTTGTTGTACTTTTGCTTTTAGTTCATTATAACTTTGTCTCACTGATTCGAATTTCTAAATCTTAGCTTGAGTGAAAACATAAAGAGAAAATGGGAAACAATTTTGAGAAAAAAAACCTAAAAATACATTTTATTTATTGCCTTTTACATAAAGAATATTTCGTGAATATTTTGTGGTAAATTCTTGGTCGATTCATTGATTGATGGCTTAAACTTTGGTACAACGAGTGGAATCTTTTAAGCTGAAAATCGATATATTGGTTAACCGAGAGCATTTTTTGTATATTTGAATTGGCAAATTTCTGGTAATGTTTCTCCCGTTCCGCCATTAATTAATGTACAATAATTTCACATATAATTTTTAAATTTTCTTTAAATTGTTCGCTTAGTTTCCTTGAAGAACTCGAGCACATGGCTACGTGCCTGCTTCTGGGGCGTCAGAGCCAATGGCTTAAATGGCTTGAAGCAAGCATATTACGGTTAACGGTTAACGGTTTAAGCAATGTGCATGTCAAGCACATTGCCACACTGGAAAGTTTGTTGCCCCAGCCGTAGGTTGAACGTTGCACATTGCACTTTCAGTTGTAGTTGCAGCTGCATGTTGCATGCAAGTAAGTGTGTGTGAAGGAGAGAGACAGAGAGAGAGAGAGAGAGAGAGTGTGTGTGGGGTGCCCCTAGGCAAAACAGCAATACAGAGGAACGCCTTGTCGCCCTCGTTTCAGTTTCAGTTTTTCCTTGCAGTTTTTTCCTTCGCAGTTCCTTGTGCAATAATTAAGTGAGTGCCAAGTAGAGTGAAGCGTGAAGGAGTCCTCATTTGGCCACCCCCCAGACCCTGCCCCTGCCCCTGGAAAATTCATGCGTTAACAAAATGGTGGAGAGTAAGAAGGAGAATCAGTGGGAAAAACAGCATACGTGGATGGCAAGGCAGCGAGAGTTCTCGAAGGGAAAAGGATTCCACGGCAAGGATGTTGGGTGTGTGGTTGTGTTATATTTTGGCTACGCTCGCGGGAGCCACGAGGGAACGCGACGGCTGAGTAAGCGTTGCACGCATGAGAAATCAAAAGGCGGACGGACGCCACGCCCCCAGCTGCTCCTCAAGTGGCAGCGGCGACTCCATGAAGGAGCTCTGGCCCCCGAAACTGTTGCCATATGAACGGAGGGAGGGAAGGGGAGGGGATATCGACCACGTCTTAAGGCAGGCAGTGGCTGGGAGGAAGATTGTAAAAATTACAATAACTGTCATCGGTTGGAAAAGAAGCTGGAAAAACACATGTGAGGAAAATGGGGGAATAAACATTCAAGGGTTAAGGAGAAACAATTAAATGCTGCGGGAAATTAATAAGAAGCGCCAGTGAGGGGTGGACAAGTGCATGCAAATAATTGCTCAAAATGGAAAGGAAAACTGCAGGAAGAATTTATTTGGTAATCTTTTGGCAGAGTTATTGATGGAGAATCTTTGAAATTTACACCAAGAAACAATGAATGAATTCTCCATCTATTTCCAACCAAAAACCTTTCAGTTTCAACTGCTTTCAATCAATACAAGAGTTGTCCTTACATACACTTTAGATGGTTACCAGTTTTCGCTTCATTTTCCCCCTCTGATCTCCCTTGCTAGTATGCCACGTGATGTTCCTGCCACACACACTCGCATACTTGAAGTAGGAGCACACGACACGTAAACTGCCGCAACACGCATTCACTTATTTTGCCATCAAAATGTTCTAGCACTTGAAATCAAATTTAAACATTTTCCTCTCACGATCTTCGAAGCCACGAACAAGACACAACACACAGCTACACACAAATAGAATGCTACACGACACACGTGACATACACTCACATGTATCTAAGTATCTACGTATCTATCTATGACATGTATTTATCCCCTGTGCATACCCCAGCAAATGTGCGTAGTTTTTCTTACATTTTTCTATCATTCTTATCATATTTTTTGTAGCTTTTTCCGCAGGTTCTATTGCTGGTAGCATTTCCGACTTCCACTTCTACTTTTGCCAGCGTTGACTCTACTTTTTCCACCTTTTCCCTTGCTGGTAGCTGCGGTTCCTGCTCTTCTCTGGCTCGTTGCTAGTGTTCCCATCTCTCCCTGACTTCCACCTATCGTTCCCCCTCTTCCCTGACTTTTGGCTACCGTTCCTGCCTCCTGCCATTGGGTTTTTCTTTCCTTTTGAGGCAAGCGACACGTACTTCCGCTCATGAGGCAAAGCCCATGGCCAAAGGCAAACTAGAGGCAGCAGAAGTTGATGGCCAACAACTACTCCATATGATGGCTAAAAAAAGGTGGTAATACTAATACCAACACACATAGCACACATACATATGTACATATATATTTTTTAACATTGTAACGAGATAATATTTTTGCAACATATTCATGTGTGGGTGGGGGGGAGTAGCGTTGAATGGGTGGCCAGGTCTAAATGATATTACCTGAAGGAACATCAACATGACTGACAGACAGCAGGAGGAGGAAGGAGAAAGGAGCAACAGGGAGGAACACGGTAGGATAACTATCAAGAAGAGTAGCCGCAGGAGTTTCATAAGCAGCGACGCAGCAGGCAGTCAGTCGGGAGGGGCAATGTGCTGCTGCACTACCGCCACACTAACGGAAACCGGATGTGCTTCGGCTTGGCAGTTGTGAAGTGATGTTTTGGGCCAACAGAACGAGCATGAGGCAAGGGGGCGGCCACTCACTCGTGCCTCAACGCTGCTTGCTGGGTTCCTCATTCGTGCCTCAATGCTGGTTGCTTGCTTGGCTCCTCATTCGATGTGCGATGTGCGAACTTTCGCCCGTAGGCATCATCGAGTGCCACGTTTTATGTCTTGCCAATGGCACTGGCAGCTAGACAGACGAGGCGACTACATACGAGTCATATATGGTGGATAAATGTGTGTGTAGTGTGTGTATTTGTGGAGCCTCTGTTATGGCCCCAAAGGCGCCACTCACACTATAACTGACTGACACCCCCCACACTCGATGTGACAGCATAAATCGCTGCCATTGCTACGGGGGGCAATAGTGGATATATAGAGGCAGTGCCACAGAGGAAGAGAAAGATAGAGAGAGCGTAGGCGACACACATAGAAGAACAATAAAGCCATATTAGCAATTTAATGTGCTGCAAAACATTTGTAGATTCGATTTGCTCTGTGCCTGTGCCTCAGTCTGTGCCTCGAACTGAAAGAAGAGGCAAGAAGGAAGACAAGACGGAAACACGCATACGCAACGTATGCCAAACACACACATACACACATGCACAGTCAATGCGAATGGATGCATGG